AAAAAAAAAGGGTCAATTTAACACCAGGATATTGAGTTGAGGAAAGAATTTTCCCATTCATAGCACAGCACTTAAATGTATATGTAATTACGTAAGTACATATCTATTGGTAAATGTGTATTACAGAAAAACCTTATTCAAAAAAATGTATCCATAATGTAATGTAACATTAGATATCACAAGGTTAGAACACAAAGAAGTAAAACAGGCAGGTAGTTAATTGACAAGCACAAAAAATGAGGTGCAGTAGACTCAACTTTCATTGGTACCTTTTTTTTTAATCAGTTAGGTTGAGAGTTTTTTTTGTTTTTTGTTTTTTTTTGATCAAATTTAGTCAAGTAAGCAGTGTGGAACACATTCTTTCCAGACCATAAAATCTCAGGATGCCTTAACAACTGCATACCTATCCAGTTGGAAAAACACATTTTGATTGGTCTATACATCAAATGTTTTTCAATTTTTTCTTTCAAAAATTAGGTGTATCTTTGTTGTGAGTGATTTATCCCCTACAATTCAAAAACCTACTTGGAAATGACAAATCTAGAATGGATGTTTTAAAAAGTTCTAAAAATTATTACAAAACCAAACATCTTAAAAAATAGGTGCTCAAGATTAATATTGAGCTAGAAAATTAATCTACCTAGGATGGCTGAATCCAATTTTCCACAAAAAAATAAAAATGAAATGCCGAGCAAAGAATGCAAATCCCCAAATCTGTCCATTACACAAGGTTAGAATAGATACCAATAAGGATTCATAGTTCTGCACAAATTGTAGTTCCAACGTCCTCCAAGCCTTGATGATAGAAACTGTTCTTGATTCAGCCTCAGTTAATGTATGGTTGGTTGATGGACATTCATATACTTGCACCACTTTGCATAAGAATTAGCCCACACTCGGTGATATTTCTCATCAAAACCTGCACAGACTTGTACTTCTACCATCATGGACTTTAAGCAATCTGTGTGGCATAGGCAACACATGACAAGATAAATGGGAACAAAAATCAACAAACCAGGCTTAGGCTATTTAGAAAACCAAACTAAGTACTGTATTAAAAAAGGTAAAACTCTGGCGAGCCACAATTTTAAATAAATGTGTAACACAACCCAATTGCATGAAGAGATATCATCTTTGGTAAGAAATGCAATTTATAAAAAAAAATAGATAGATAGATATAAATTTATAATTTGTTTCCTTTTTATCCAGTACCACAGTGAGTATCATCATTAAAGAATAAGATTTTCAACACCCTTATTTAGCTTTGAAGCATGTAATCATTGTAATCATAAAAATATTCAGAACATAAAAAAATAACCAATAGAAAGACAGTCAATGTACAGTATTAGTATTTTAAAGACTTGGCCAAAAGAGCTGCAACAGCAGAATTTTTATCTCCATTGAAGTTTCTTAACTCTATTACTACCTGAAAAAGAGTAAAATACATTTGTATCACAGCAATAAAATTTGAGAATTGCTAACAATAAAGTAAAAGAAAAGTAAGGCACGGAGAGTAAACGTAACACAAACCTGATCCCTTGGGAATCCCATAGCAATTAACTCTTGCACAGCATCCTCTCCAAAGGTATCATTAGGTGCAAGACCTGACCCACTTGTTGATGCTCCTGAGCTACCAGCTGTTCAGGGACGAGACCAAACAATATTCGAATTATTGGAAAAGAAAAGAAAAGAAAAGACCGAACTGGAAGAGGTTGCAAATAGTATCAAGCACTGATTAAATCATACCGGCTGTATCACGACGACTATCAGCTAAAGCTTTCTCCATTTCCATTTTTTCTACCTGACGAACTGCATCTTCAGGATTGCCTGTAAGGCGGGCACACTCTGGCAGCTCGTTTTCTGGCAAAAATCTTGTTTCTGTACCGGTTGTACCAATGCGAAGAGAATTTGCTTTCAAATCCAGAACACACTGGGCAAAAGGAAATTAAATCATTATGTTGAATTGAGGTAACATTCATAAAATAAGTACGGTCAATTCCCGTTAGTGCGACCCCACTGGGACCGCGGCCAAAAACGTAATAACGGGGAAATCAATGTATCTGACTGCATTAATAAGCAAACTAATGACATAGGGCAGTGAAAAAAATCACCATACCGGGGAAATCGTTGTATCCGGGGGTCGTACTAACGAGAATGGACTACCTGAATATTAATATGAAGGATAAATAAATGAATACCTCATGGCGACGAAGCATATCAAGACCTAGAAGCATATCCATTGGCTGGTCTTGGAGAACAGAAAATGATGTGGTAAGATGGTCATTTTCAATCTGAATTTGCATCATATGTATACGTCCAATAATACGTTGCTCTCCAACACCTTTGGCTATACCAGACCAACGTGTATCCACTAGGCGATTGATATTGCACCTTTCAGCGCAGGCACTTGACATAATTGTAGCTTGAGCACCTGTAAATTGAAATAGAGTAGCATGAAATGACAGCTCAAAGCAGAAATCTTGTTAAAGTAAATTTTAGACTTAAGTAAACTTTGAACTAAACAAAAAGAAACTTATAAAAAAGTAAAGCAACAGACCAGAGTCAACGAAGGCTTTAACAGGATGACCATTGACACGGCAATTAATATAGAGCATAACCACGCTGCCAAATGTCTCTGGATTGTACTCAATGGCTGCTTCCATATTGGCTTCAATGTTTTTCCGCTTGATTTCCTCTGCTATTAATCTCTGAGCTTCAGCATCAAATGGGTTTGCAGCCACCATCCTCCTATATTTTTCCTGTTGATCTCTTCTTGCTGCCATCTGCTCTTGCAACACAGCAGTGAATGAGTCTGCAAGTAATTTTTTACATTATATTATAACTAAATATGGTAGTAGTCATTCATTTGGTTGAGGGACAAGTAAAAAGTTATTCATACCCATATTTCCAGATAGAAGTGCATCAGCAAGCCGCGGATTATTTTGTTTCAGAAGTGCCAATTGTTCAGGATGAGACAATAACATCTCCTTGATAGCCTTAGGATCTTCATCAGGCCTTGGACGTGATGGATCAGAGCTAGACGAAGACGAGCCAGGAACTTGAATTGAACTAAAATCTAACGAAGGAAGTCCTCCAGCTGAGAAAGAACAAAAAAATTACAGTAGATAGCATTAATATAAGAAAAATATACCAATAGATAATAAATAAAAAAGTAACTCCTTATAACAGTACAAAAAGGCTCAAGCAAATGTAAACAGATTTGAGAATAAGGTGGGGAGGTTAGGTGTCAGAACTCACCACTGTGCATCGGCGGACCTCTTTGCTGAATATGCTGAAGGACAACAATATCACCATCCTGAATGCCGTGCTCTTTAAGAGACTTCTTGTCGTCCAAAAGTGGACGACCATTGAATGCAATATTAATCTCCGGCGCCGGGAACCCGGTCTCCACTTCACAAAAAGCCTTAAAATTTTCAAGTTCTAAATCTTCGCTTACGTCTAAAACGAACAAGTCGTCCGATAAAGTTGTGACGGTTACTTTCATTTTGCTGCGAGAGATTCTTAGAGCCAAGATTTACAACAGACTGGCTGGTTTGGTTTCTGCTTATTTACGTTCCGTTAGCACCACCACCACTACAACAACATCACTACTTGCAAGTTCACAAACACAGCACCGCCATGACAGATCGGCATCGCAGCTGCGAGGGGCAGGGAGGAAAGGGGGGGGGGAGCTGTTGGAGAGAGTGTGTCGTCGCGAGGGTGACGAAAGGGAAGGGAAGCTGAGTGAGAGAGAGAGAGAGAGGGGGGGG